GGGCTGGGGGAAGAGAACCTTGGGGGTGATGCTCTACAAATCAGCCTCCCGGTTCAGGCTTTGACGCGCGCCAGATCTATGAGGCCGCCGGAGTTGGCGAGATAGAGAAAGGAGGGGAGTGGGGGAAGGCGCAACCCGCGGAGGTAGGGAGCTGGCCAGGGGAGGGGCAACCGGGAGGGGGGTAGGGAGGGCGGGACCTGTAGGGCCAGTTCTCTTCCAGTAGCGGCGACCCCCCGGGCCTCCAGTTTGACACGCAAGTCTTTAAAAGGCTCCCTGCTCAGGAGGGAGAACTTGCTGAGTCCAAGTTCACTGACGTAAAGAGAATTTATTTTTTATTTTGTAATCTGGTAGATAACTGGGCTACTTAAGATTGAATAAAACCAGGTATAGAAATCAGAAAACAGTTTTCCGAGGTGTTCACGCTGTGTGCACACATATTTATATACATTAAATTTCGAACTAGTGGGGATGATACAGGTGGAAGATGTTCTGAAACCCAGTAAACTGTTTCTTCACCAGCCAAAGCTAGTTCTCAGGAAATTAAACGCGCACGTGCACACAGGCACACTAAGACACCCGCCCCCACCCCCCAACCTACAAAAACAAAAACAAAAAAACATTTGGGGTCCCTTCCAGTGAGAAAGTTTACCCCCAACAAAAAATCGCTGTCAACACTTAGAACTCAAATGGCCATTTTTCAGGAATTGGTTGCTTTCTGAAATGTTGCAGCTTCTCTATCTTGTCTAGATGGTCTGAAAGATAGAGCAATTGCGCACAAGAAAGATTATACAGTGAATATCTTTCTATAGCTTTTTGAATAGGAGCCAGCAAAGACAAATGTGCTTTGTCCCATAGATCAGGCCTCCTGATTTGGCACTTGTGTTAATGGAAACTTTAATTCTTGGAAATTTCACGTATTTTCCAAGACTCAGGACAGAAAGTGTATGGAGAATAAACAGTATGTTCACTTAATTTCCAAAAGACCTAAAATTAGTGTTTAATAATGGCAGTGAAGAACTTTTTCCCATTGTGGATAATCTTAGTGCCTTTCAGCCTGGGGATGCTGGTCTGTTAGTGGTAGCTCTCCTCTCTACTGATGTTAATTTTTCCAGTAATTTATGTCATAGATTTACTACAAGTGTGTGGGGATCTATTTGTATAGTTAATCCCCTCATTGTTCTATTTTACAATTGAGTTTGGTGTACAACTTTTTCCCTATTATGATTTTAGCTCAGGGAATATTCATTGAACACCTATTTTGTAAAGACTTTTTGTTTTTTTTGTAGATATATATATATATATATATATATATATATATACACAATCATAGTTGCTGTCTGAAGAGGCAAATGGTTGTAGTGATAGAAATGGGAGTTTGATAATAAATTCCAATACAAGCAAGGATGTGAACCAAATGAGAAAAAGAAATACAACCAAATTGCTGTAGGAATTCAAATGAGAGATAGTAAGACAAAGACAATAAGGAAAGCTTCATGGATGAATTGACGTCTGATCCAGTCTTTAGACAATGTATATTTGGGGTATGCAGAAAGGCAAAGATAAGACATTCCACAGAGAGGAAACATCATGAACAAAATTATGAAGTACTGGCAGGGGTGGGCTATGATTTAGTAACAGAAACTAAATGAATTACCATCGATGAAGCAAGGTCAACAAGATGGCAGGATTAGACACTTGGCGTTCAGTGTTGCCTGGGCAGCCGTGGTCACCACTCTTCTCAACACATGGGTTATTCGTGTACTTGTCTCCATGCCACTCACCCCCCCATGAAATGAGAGTTACTAGAGGGCAGGGCTGGGAGTCCTTTACCTCTGGGTCCTAACTAAACCTCTAGCTTACCACAGCTCAAATGACAGAGGTGCTAACAAAATACTTTGGAATCAATATGTGGAAAAGGTAAGGCTGAAAACCGTATTGGGGACTTGAAAATAAATGCATTGATGGCCTTAAATGCTCAACAAAGGAGTCTGGGCAGTTTTCAATGCATAAGGGTAAGCCATGGAAAGGTTTTGATTAGAAAAAACACAGTAAGAGTCTGATTTAGTAGGGTTGATCAGGAAGCAGGGGCTATGATGGCTTTGGGAGGTGCATTTCTAAGTAGAGTCCCTTGGGCTCCAAAACTCTGTGATTGGCAGAGGGAGATACTGGAAACTATTATATTAATTAAAAAAGGAATTGCGGTCTGGGGCTGCTAAGCAAATATATACAAAAAGAATGTTACATAGAATCAGTAGTGGGAGAGGGAAAAGTCAGAGCTGACTGTGATATTTACTGTGGTGACAGAAAAATACAATTGACACTTGAACTGCATGGGTTTGAACCACACAGGTCCACTTCTAGGCAGTTTTTTCCCAATAAATACAATACAGTACAATACAGTACAGTACAGTATTTTTCTTAATAACATTATTATTATTTTCTTAATAACAATTTATTTTCTCTAGTTTACTTTATTGTAAGAATACAGTATATAATGCATATAATATACAAAATACATGCTGTTTGTTATCGGTGAGGCTTCTAGTCAAAGTAAGTGATTAGTAAAGTTTTTGGGGGTGTCAGAAGTTATATGTGAATTTTCAACTGTACATGGGGCCGGCACTTCTAACCCCTAAGTTGTTCAAGAGTCAGCTGTATTTATTATTGATCGATATCTAGTTTCTCTCCTTTTTGATCTTCCTATTCTCATATTATGGCCCAAATAGTGAACATTTAAATTTACCTTTGAGAAGCTTGTTAAAGAAATCAATGTTTTAAGAACACATTTACTACTTAAGGCTTATTTTATTGGTCTACTTGTTTAATCATTATTTTGCTGTCATCCACCAACAGTTACACGTGTTTTCTTTACTCTTCAATAATTTTCCTATTTGTTCTTTGATTAGTGAAGACTAACTTGTGCTCCACTCTTGAGGAGACCAGTAATAAGTTTAGAACAGAGCTAACTTTTAAAATCTTGTGATTTTCTTGACTTTAAGATGTTAAAAATTCTGTTAGAATCTGCTCATGTTGCATACCAGAGGAATTTATGTGACTGGGAAGCAATTCAAGGATATCTGTTCACTTTTAAGTAAACATCTGTTAGGTTCCTTTTAGACCCTATGAGCATTTTATTTGTGAATAAAGAAGTTTCTGCAATTCCTAATTTTTCTGAAAACAAAGTTTGTCAGGTGCCTTCAAACAAGTAGAGAAAGTATTAGGCTGATGC